CCACTTGTACTAAATGTACTCTCAGATGCAACTGTGGAATAGGAACTGCAAGCACATCTCTAGTCATTTTGGAGATAATAGGAAATCTCTCACTATGACTCTTCCACCACTTTAGAACATCAAAACTCACAGATTCATCATCCTCAACCAGATTTTCACTCAAGTAAATTTGTAGCTCTGTCTGCTTACTGCTTCCACCACCACTCTCCAATCTCTTTTTTTTTTTTAAGTTCACTCTTCATCCTTGAGACAGGCCTGCCAACTGTACAACTAGTAGCCTGAGACTGGACAGGTTGGTTAGAGGATGAACTATCAGAGTATGTAGCTGCATAGTCATTATACAATGCAACCATTTCAGTTTAGACCTTGGCAAAACATTCTTTGCCTTTGACATCTCCATACAACTGGACAAACTGGTGAGGCATGTACTTCTCCTTATCTCTAGGGTCCAGAATATTGGCAAAGAAAATGAGATGGTTCATTTTTTCTGGATCTCCCCAATACTTATCAAACTTGTCTTTCATTTTTGTCCCCATTGCCTAATAAATACAGAAACTCAGAAAGCATAAACATTTTAAAATAGTTACAAGTTATACACAATTACACAAATAAACACAAGTGTTTTACCTTTTCAGTATTCTCAGCTTTAGTCATATCTTCCAGCATGCAACTTAGATCAGAGATCTCAGAGAAGAATGTGTTAGAAGTGACATAAAGAGAACCAGATATTCTCACTGTCATTTCATAAAAAGTTTTCAAAAGCTTCATTAAGCTTTCAACAGTCTCCCAATCCAGGAAAGAAGGTGCAGAACCCAAGTCAGCAGAAAAAGATGGATCATTTGATGATATGAGTCAAAGACACTTTGATATTGAATTGCAGTGTTGAGCATAATGTAGGTGCTGTTCCACCTTGTAGGGACATCAAGCTGCAAAGCTGCTTTGGCTTCCACCCCAATGAGTTCAGCAAGCTCTCTGAACTTATTCGACCTAGCAGGTGAGTTCCTAACCCATTATCTCATTGCATCCCTCACCATTTTTACTGACTCATCTGCAAACCTCAAGCCATCTTGAACCACTAAGTTTAAGATATGGGCTATACACCTCATGTGCATATACTGCACCCTAACAGAAGAAGAACCCCAAGACAACAGCTTGCTTTTAAAAAATCCCATAGCTGTATCATTAGAAGAAGCATTATCCACTGTCACAGTGAACACATTTTTAATCCCCCACTCCAACAGACAACTCTCTAAGGCTTTGGCAATATACTCCCCCCTATGAGAAGAAACAAGGACAAATGAAATTATTTTTTTCTGAAGCTTCCACTAGTCATCAATAAAATGTGCAGTAATGCACATATAATTAATAATCTGGACAATCAGTGGTTAAACTGACCTTTTGGGTGCCCACCCTAAACAACTTCTTAAGACTCAACCTCTCATCTAGGAAAATTTGGTAGATATCCCTAGAAATAGTCCACCTAGAAGGAATTTGAAACCTAGGACAAGCTACAAGAATAAACTTCTTGAACCCCTGACCCTCAACAAACCTAAAAGGGAGTTCATCTATGATGATCATCTCACACAATGCCCTCCTAATGGCCTCTTGATTAAAGACCCATGTCCCTAAAACCCCCACAGGAGCTTCTGTTGCAGAAGTTGAAACAGTATTGAATGTGAGAAGGGACTACCTAGTATCCTTTGAAACAGGATTTTTAAGGCATGCCAGCATATGATTTTTCAACGATGATGTGCCATGTTTCTTAGACTCACAGACAAACACTTTCAGGCAGTAAAGGCACTTGCCTTTAACCACTACATTTTCAGAGTTTTTGATCTTTTCAAAGTGATCCCAGACTGGAGATCTAGACTCAACCACCTTCCTCTTTTTTGCAGGAACATCAGGAGTAGCCTGAGGCTTCTGAGCAGGATTCTCAGTGCCTTGGGCTTGTCTTCCATGTCCCTCTTGAGTTGAGGGTTGAAGTCCAGAATCAGGAAGATTGATGCTCTCCATCTAAAATGATGGGCATCAATTAAAGGTCCAACAAATACAAGTACTTCAAGTACTCAGCAAAGGCAACAATCACATAAACATACAAAGAAATCAAGATTCAGACACTTGTTTGTGTCATCATGTATTAAGATTTCACATTTTCACTATTACATATTTACATATTTACATATTTACATTCAATTAAGGGTAATACATCCATAAACATAGTCAAAGAATAAAAAAAAATCCAGATTCAGGAACTGTATCCAGTTCATCATTATCTGGATTTCAGTTAATGGCTTCGACCAATAAATGGAAATTTCAAGTTTGAAACTTGATAATTTCACATTCAAGCCTTTAACTTTTATGCAAATATGCAAATATTATCATTTAATGGCTTCCACCAATAAATGCAATCTGGAACTTCTCAAGTCTCAACAGATCACATTATCTCAGTTCACACAATGACACAAATCAAAATCACAGAAACCTTAACCAAACTATCAAAGTATCACAAATTATACACAAGTGACACTGTGACATGCAATCTGTAACTTCTCAACAGATCACAATATCACATTATCAATTTATCATAGTCCACAGAAATCATAATCACATAAACCCTAATCAAACTATCAAAAGTATCACAAATTAGAGACAAGTGACATACAATCTGGAACTTCTCAACAGACCACATTATCACAGTCCACACAAATCACAATCTATAAGACTAGGGTGAGTAAATCAGTGAGTAAATCACAACTACAAAACTAGGGTTTGTGCTTCCACCATAATAGATCACAACATAGCATAATCACAATCTATAAGACTACGGATGAGTAAATCACAACTATAAAACTAGGGTTTGTGCTTCCACCATAATAGATCACAAAATAGATCACAACATAGCATAATATAACACAAATATACGAACATCTGAACATGCAGGGAAAAAAACCAACAAACAATAAAAACAAAAACTAGGGTTTGTGCTTTACTTGGTTTCCCCTTAATATTCGCCGGAGAACAAGGGCATCTAATCAATAATCACCACGAGAACTCGAGAAGGGCTTCCACCAGTCCACCACCAACGGCCACCGACCACTGGACAATCAGACAATTGAAGTATCGGAGAAGTCAGAGTCTCAGATAGAGAAACTAGAGAGTAGAGACTCAGAGTCTCAGACTCTCAGAGAGTAGAGACTCAGAGTCTCAGACTCTCAGAGAGTAGAGACTAGAGAGTAGAGAGAGGTCAGAGACTTAGAGGATGAGAGGATTGATAGGAGTAGAGAGAAGTCAGAGAACAGAGAAGAGAGCTGAGAGTCTCAGAGAAGAGAGCTATGCAAATGACATTCACAAGCATTCAACATACATATATACTAACCTTAAACGACGTCGTGTAGCATATACCTAAATCCTAACCCTAGGAAACTTCGGATAATCGGACGGGTCGGATACAAAAAAACCAAACCCTATCCGAAGTGCTTTATCCGACGTCGTATAGGCTGCGGATCGGATATGGAATGTCGGATGCGGATCGGGTCGGATGGCTTGGTTTCGGATTTCGGGTCGGGCGGATTTCTCGGGTAGGGTCGGGTTTGCACAGGCCTACTTCAAACTGTTGAATGACCAAAACACTTTCTTTAGCATTTTGATCTTGGGTTACATCATAATTAAAATTTTTAAATTTTTACTACATCTAAATCTCTTAAATTAGGAATTTCTTTATCCATAATAATTTATTCAACAATAATGGTTGAACTAAATGAACACTGAGCAAAACACCTAAAGAATTGGTACTGTTGATTCATTCATTGATCTTGAATATATGTGCATTCATTAAATATATTAGAACCCTTTGCAACAAAAATACTTGGTTACGTTATTATTTAAAAAAAATGTTAGTAACAATTATAATGAATCTCATATATTACATTGTATTCACATACTATGAATTATATATTTAAATAAACAAATTAGACATTAAATTACTTATGTTGAACTTCTCATATATAATCTTGCACTAATATACTTTCAAATATTTATTTAATTATAAACATTGGGTAGAAAAAATGACCGTCAAATTATTAAATCAAATGAATAGTTTAGATTGTTCATATTTTAATTTTTCCTTGAGATTTCCTAATTGATCTTTAATTATACGATTATCCGATCCGTTAACTTTCCCATTAAGTACCATTAATTCAACGTTAGTCTAATTCTAATATTAAAGTCTAAAATAGAATTATAACTACAACATTAATCTAATTCTAATATTTAAGTCTTAATAGAACTCTAACCACCGAAATCTCTTCAAACAATATTAGTATATATATTTAATATTTTATGCTTTAATTTTTACTTTCTCTCCTTTATGTCCCGTATTTGGTTTCTACCATACCCATACAATTATTTTATTGACAATTATAATCAATTTCGACTATATTATCTTGCATTTGTAAACTTAGAATTACCAATTTAAATACGCAAATTCAACATTCAATTATCTATGCATGAACAATTCTAATATAATCTTGCCTTGATATACTTTAAAATACTTATTTAAGAAAAACATTGGGCATTATCCCAATCGCGCAATGCGCGTAAAAAACTAGTAGAGTAAGATAAGATAATATTTTTATTATTTATGTTTATGTGGCAGGTAAGTAACCACTCCAACGCTTATGTGACGCACCACGGTCCACGAGGGCATTTACTGGGTTTTACTTGAGAGGTGACCAACTAATGAAGTCAACTGATTAAAAATCGTGTATTCATGTGTTCAATTAAACTTTTTAAAAGTTTGTGAGGCTAATTGACATTTTATAAATCTATTTTGACCATTTTTCCAATAAAAAATTATGACCATAAGTAATGACTAGTAAAAGTGATGACTGATGACCGTCGTTTTTGCCTATACATTTCTAGTCATCTCTCGAATCTTGAGAATTGAAAAATTAAAAGTGATAACTAGAAACCCTATAACACGCGGTGGGAATCGATGATTTGATTAAAAAAATGTAATTTTCCCACTCAAAGTTCATTTAAATTAATTAGATTTTGAATTTTCGATTCCAATTTTCAACCAAACTGGGGTTAGTGGGATAAAAAACTGCAGCTGTTTGCACAAGCAGCCGCCATTTCAGTTTCTTCCATTTCTTCTGCTGCGAATTGAATCCCTCTTCTCATTGGAACCTCAATTTCAGTTTGATTTCTTGTTCAAATCCGCTTTCACACCCGCGGGCCTCGTGTTCGCCTAGAATCCTGCAAAACCGAACCCTCTCTCTGCTGATCAAATGGAGGCGCGCTCATCCGATCATCACCCCTCGTCTGTTCAGGTATTTGCTGTTCATAATTTCTTTTACAACGCTAAATCTTCATTTCCGACTAATTGATGGGAGTTTTCGGTTTTGGATATGCAGAACGGCGCCGTTTTACCTGAGTTGCTTGTAAGTTCTCTAGCCTGATTTTTATTTATTTATTTATTTTGTACAAAAATGTTATCTCAAATGCTCCGATATTCTTGTGGTACTCACCTAATTTTTAGAATTTCCAAAATTTATGATTTTGATTTGCTATGAAAGGGAATGGTACTAATGGTGTAGTACCATTAGTGTGTAGTACAGTTTTAGATTACAGAATGAATGGAAGGAATTAATGTGAAGTACTCAAGTACAAGAGTACTTCTAGGGCAATCCTTTTATATAAGTTGCTTGTGTGATCATTTTCTCTCAAATCTTTAGGAGAAGAGCAGTTCAAATAGAGCCCATTTGATCTATATATATACATCTGGAGTAAGTTTAGATATTTCGAATGCTTAATATTTCTTTTTTTTTTTTCTTCATTCAAATTTCGTGTAATAGTAGAGCTTTTCATTTTGAAATTATATCCAGGAAGATTTGAGTTGTGGAATACTGTATCCATGTTTGAAAAAAAAAATTATTTAGTACTTCTACTACTCCTTATGTTTGTGGATGAATATGTGATCTGGAGTCTGAACCATGTCTGTGGATCACCTTATCTATTATGTTGCCTGTGTGTCTATGTTAATGATTTATGCTTCGAAATTTAATGGTTTCTTGATAACACGCTGACAGACAGAGTTTATGGTGGATATGTCGTGTGAGGGTTGCGTTGAGTCTGTGAAGGGTAAATTGCAGAATGTTGAAGGCAAGGGCTAGAAAATTGAATGAGAATCTTACTTCGTTGTTTTTCATTGTTGAATTAATTAATACAACTTTTCTGACACATTTTCACATTCAGGAGTTAAGAGTGTCGAGGTTGATCTGAGTAACCAAGTTGTTAGGGTTCTTGGGTCTTCACCTGTGAAGATGCTGACGGAAGCATTGGAGCAAACAGGTCGAAAGTCTCGACTGATAGGACAAGGAGTTCCAGAAGGTTTGCTGCCTTTACCAGATTTATCTGTTATCTCTTTCGTACTAATGTATAAAGTTTCTGAATCTAATTTTTCATGCTGGTTATATTTCATCAAGATTTAATTAGTTATCCTCTCTAGCCTCTTATTTTGGTCATCTTGCTTTCATGCTAATGCAGAATGAAGAGAATACCCATTTGACTTTTATTATGTTAGCAACATCCTTTGTCTTGACCATTTGATTTTTATGGACAGATTTCCTTATATCTGCTGCCGTAGCCGAATTCAAAGGACCAGATATTTTTGGTGTCGTTCGCCTGGCCCAAGTGAGTATGGAATTGGCTCGGATTGAAGCTAACTTTAGTGGACTATCACCAGGAAAACATGGTTGGTCCATCAATGAATATGGTGATCTCACAAGAGGTGTAGCTAGCACTGGCAAACTGTACAGTCCAACAAATGACACTGAAAAGGTGGTTGCATTTTCTATATTCCTATAACCTTTTTGAACTGTTGGTTCTTTTTTTTTTTTTTTGGGTGACGAGGGAAAACCCACAACGACTACCTGAGGGTGTACACTGGGTAAACCTTGCCTTGTGACCCTAGCCGGCAAAGGACCATTACAAGTTTGTATCCTTAGCCATTTTGATTGGGGTTATCCCATTTAAAAAAAATAATAATAATTAACATTTCCTACAATGCAAATGGATTTGATAATAGATTGTAGATTGATGACACTTTACTCATAAAGGATCTGTTAACAAAGCATACCATAGTCAATACTTGTTAGATGCAGTTTATGAAACTAGAAAGAAATTATTCTTTTATGAAAGCTTCTTCCTTGCCTCCTCCCTATGTGGGATAAATTGTCAAGAAATAGGCTTATGAAGGATGAGTCTATCTTCTTTTATCATGAGTGGGGTTTTTGTTTGGTCTACCAATTCCACCTTTCTTCTCTCGTAAAGAAGTGAATGTCAATGCCGTTTTTAGGAATGTCACTCCACCAAAACGGAAATCCCATTAATATTTTACACAAAAATGTCTAGGGTTTAAAAACTACATAAAAAAATTGTCTTGTCCTCTCCAATTCTACACACTTCAGGTAATGATTCCTCGTTTCTACCAGAAAACCTTCTCGTCTCTCCTAGTTTCCTTCCAGTATTTCCCTCCCCGTCTCTAGTCAATTTCATGTGCTCTTAGGCTGCTAATTGCATATTGCCATATTGAACTTAAACAAGGGGATATTGATATTTCAGGTACTCGGTGACCTGGGGACACTAGATGTTGACGAGAAAGGTGATGCATTTTATTCTGGCGTTAAGGAGAAGCTGAGAATTGCAGAGCTCATAGGGCGGGCCATTGCGGTGTATGAAACTGAAGATAAAAGAGATCCAGGACTTAAAGCAGCAGTGATAGCTAGAAGTGCTGGGGTTGGTGAGAATTACAAGAAACTTTGCACCTGCGATGGGACAACTATTTGGGAAGCAAGCAGTCAAATTTGAGAGCTTCATTATAACCTCACCTGCTGTATTTCTAAGTGTACAAGTTTTTAAACTATGTACACTACACTTTATTTTTATCACATTTTTAACTATTTCTCTTATATTCTCTAAAATTTTCAAATGCTTGTCAAGCTTCTACAATTATAGGGTCAAAAGTTCATTTTGATGAGATTTTTTTTTTTTTTTTTTTTTTTTTTTTGAGTAATCAATTATAGTTGATGATTGAAGATAAAGAAATATAATTATGATCAGTTCATGATTCTTTCCAAAAGGGTAAAAATTGAAAGAAAATAAAACATTGAAAAATATGAAGGAAAATGGCGCTTTTAATATCTATAGGGAAATATTCACTCAATCCTCCAATTATTAAGGATTATTTATTTAGTCCCTCAATTATTGAAATTATCATTTTAGTGGTAGAAGATATAGTTCTCTAATAACAAAATCTGTTAAATATCTTAGTGACAAATATAGTACATCAATTGTCATTCGATGGACTATATCTACCAATGAAATGATAATTGAGAAATTAACGTTGAGATCCTAATAATTGAAGGATTGAGTTAATTATTTTTCATAATTGAGAAATTAAAAGCGTCATTTTTTCAAATTGACCTCATCTTGCTCCATTGACATCTTGCTCCAATGAGGTAGAAAATTGGGAATTGTCCTATCTTGCTCCGTTGACATTTCTAAGAGTAACCCCAATAGGGGGTTTATTCATAGATTTTAGAACAGTAAAATTTCCTTGCTTAGCTTTTGACAAATGGAAGTTGGGGATTTTGCAAATTTTTTTCTCCTGCAAATGAGAAGATTTTGTTGATTGCTTCATCTTTTTATTTCTCTCTCCTGCTGAGTGACCATACATCATGGGCCCCAACATCCACACGGTATGTTTCATTTGTTTTTTTGTTTTCCTAAAAACTGGTGCAACGGCCAGTTATGGTTGTTTATTATTTTTAATTTTTTTTTAATTTAATATAACATACAATGTTATTAATTTTTTTTATTCTTTTTATTTATTAAATTCATAATTATCAATAAGATTTCATCAATTTTATAATTATACTTACAATATAAATTTTTAGAATGATAATAAAAAAAATAAATAATTCAAATATAGGATAGTAAAATGGTAGGTCCACAAAAAGTTGTGAAGAAACTTAAAACTAATGGAAAGAAGAGATTTTGTGATTGGGTGAGATAGTGGATATGAGGAGGATGTTGGGGCTCACAAAAATCTGGGATAAAATCTCCAACTATTGAGGATGCCCTAAGATCATCCTCAATAGTCATGAATTTTGCAAATGATATAACGTGCCCAGTTGGGCTCTCCTGGTGCGCGTTACCAGTGAACAATTTCACTGAATTGGTGGAGTCCACACATCTAACAAAAATCAAAGTCTTATTGCAAAGTCCTAAATTACTCTCTCTCTCTTCCACATAGGATTACATTTCTTCAAAAACCACCCCAAAATTTGTATTAGGGATGTCAGTACTCGGTAGTTTTGTTGCGTATTTCTAAGTCCTGGTATAGTTGGTCTTGATTTATAATCCATAATAATACTAGAACATGGCAAATGGCGGACCGTTTTACATATAATTGGTATCCATGCTAAACTTGTTATCAAGTACTATCTTGCATTCTTGCCTGTTGAGAGAAATGGAGTAGGCAAGGGAATAAAATGGTTAATAAATGCAAATATTTTACGACAGTAAAGGAAAATCTTAAGGCATTCATAATTCATTACTGATTCTGTTCTTATACATGAATACCAAACACAAACACACACACACACACACAAAAACACACAATATATCTGATGCATGTAAAGCAACAGTTGTTCATTGTAAGAGCAGAACCACAATAACCATCTTGGAAAAGCAATGGACTTCTTTGTAGTCCATAGTCCATACATAGATGTAAGAAGTTTAAGCACAACCTAGCTTGAGAAAACTGAACCAGGGACAAATTCACAAAGAAAGATGATGTCATGATTTCCATACCCAGATGCAGTGATAAATGAGGATTCAGTGTTACACCCTACAGCACCCCGTTCTCTTGCTCACACCAAAGCTGTTCATGAGGTGTTTGGTCAATAGCAAGGGATATGCCTTACTCAGATGAGCCAATCTTTTTTACACTGTCAAGGATTATGGATTCTGATTTCTGAAATTGATTTGAGGCAGTCACTTGGGAGTTCATACCTTGTAGTGCCGGGCTTGGAAGTTTCCAGGCTAGGTACTGGCCGGGTGCAAGAATGACGAGCCAGATGATGGTAGCGAACACTTCTTATAATATTGATTCCAATGGCCGGCTTGCAAGGACATGGCATTAAGCACAAATTTGGGGAATGCGTTCAAAAAGCAGCAGATCTCCTTGTACTCTTGTAGCCCTTGCTGCATCACAGTTACAAAGAGTGATATGGCCTTGTGCAATAAAAGATTTTCCTAGACTAGTTGACGATGAATCATAAGTTAATGTAGACCAGGCATAGAGCACAGGATTTAGTTAGTAATATTATAAGGTTACAAGCGCCCAAGGAAATAGCTATTTGTGTTCCCTATCTTATAAATTATTCCAAATTTTCAATTTAAGGGAAAATAGCACTTTTCATTTTTTTTTTTGGCAGACCACGAGGTGTCCTGAGCAGGTCCTAACTGTAGGAGGCACCTTTAAGCCCGTACCATACTCAAATTAATCCCCGTTCGCACCGGGCCAGTCCTATTAAGGGGCAAAGTGCTGGCCAGATTGGGTTTTCCATATGAGAGGGGGTTCGAACTCCCGACCTCTCTTAAGGGACAAGAGTGCACGGCCACTCACACCAACCAAGCACTTTTCAATTTTCATCTTTCAATTATACCGTAGCCACTTTTTATCCCTCAATTGTCTGCGGAATGGCTTTTTTTAACACAGCGCTAACAAAACTCGGGGACGAAAAAAGCCACTTCATAGACAATTGATGGATGAAAAGTGGCGATAGGTATAATTGAGAGACGAAAAGTGTAATTTTACCTCAATTTAATGATCTATGCTTAACCCACAAAGCTTTGTTAGTTCATATATGTCAGTCTATTCTACAGATAACCATTTTTAAAAAATTAATAAGCACGCCCTTGCATCTGTTTGAACATGCATTTAATACAATGAATATGATCTCATAAGAATGAATATTAACTTTGGTTTTGTACGCAAGACTAACAGATAGAAACTAATTGATAATATACCTCACAAGCCCATCACAATCGTGCATTGATTTTGTTCAAGCTTAACGTGTCTGTATTTCCAATGGAAGCAGTGTGCACTTCTGATGCCTCAATCGAAACTCTCCTGCTAGTATCTTGAGAACAAAGATAAGACAGTGACTGTACCCATGAAACTAACGCTGGTTTCCTTGTAACATCATCTAACTCTGCAATCTGTTGATATAAATCATTAAGAACCATATTCTGGCCATCAGTGGGTAGTTGAACAATCATCTGGGCCAGTAGCCTCATCAAACTAGGCAGAACCTGAAATGTTTATTAATCTCTCTTATCAGTGAAAACTATGCAGCGAAACAATCAGGTTATGCTTGTGAAGAAGAAAATTTCCATCCTCCTTTTCGAAGTCTCTCCTACTGTAAAAGAGTTCTTGTTTTAGAGTAATTAAAGAATTCAGAAAGAAAGGGTAAAAATGCATGTAGAAGTGAAAAATTCCTCAAGCACATGACAATAAACAAAGAAAAATTGGCCACAAAATGCAGGAGACTTGATAAAAGAAATATAGAAAAAACAAGGAATTATTATGTATATTTTTTACCACTTTACCTGTATATCAACAAGAGAAAGGAGTCTCAAGAGTAACTCTAACATTTTCTTCGTAGGCTCTATTTCTCCTTCCCAATTTTTGATAACAGAGCAGAGGCTATTTACTTTTTCAACAAGACTATGGATGCAATAGAATATTGACGGGCTTCCAGCAGGAAGATGTCTAACAAGAGCAGTAACTCCAGAAGCAACTCCCTCAAAAGGTGTAATATCTGGATATGCCTATATATTCAACTCAAACTCAATCGAAAGATAGAAAACCTTGTCTATCCAAAAATTTATGGAGTAATACAATGACAAGAAGTAACGTTAATTATTTGAATACCTCCAAAGATCTTTTCACGTAATAAAAGACAAGTTTCTCCTTTAGTGTAACTCTTTCATCGTGGTTAGGATCCTTTCCAGATGAAATGAAAGCCACAAATACTGAGTGCGATGCTCTAGCTACTTTCCGAGTTGGATGACCCATATATCTGAATAAACATTGAATAAAGGAAATATGCAATTAATCTATTTATAATTAATTCCATTGTGTTTAGATCCAGCCAATCTATGTAGGATACAAGAACATAATTGGTGCCACCACTGTTCCAAACATGGAGGCTGGCATACATTCAATGCAAGTTGGAATAACACGCAAATAAAACAACATCCGAGCAGTTTGCACTTCATCAGTGGACCATGAATAGTTCAGTTCTTGAAAAGTGGACGACCCTACAAAAGAGAAACAAGTAGTGCAGGTGTACTACAGTAAAGATCACAGGTGAACACAAATTTAAAAATAATAGATTAAGATAAGAAGTTGTACCTGGTTTGTTTGTCAAATTGGCGTAAGATGGCATTGATTTCACAAATGACACACAAGCTGATTCATTTTCCTGTACACTAGTAATAACTGCTCTAATTACATCCATATATTCCTGCAAACGCATCCGTCGGAAATATTCCATACAAGAAAAAGAAACTAATATCTGTACAGAAAGTTTCAATTGATCTTCATGGGCAATACCCGATCCTAGCTTGTGCTTTGTTACTGCCAATGCAAAGACCACAACCATAAGGAAAGCAGATTCAGCAATTTTTTCTAGATTAACAGATAAACCATCCTTCCTGTATTGTAGCATTAAAGCCACCTGCCGATACCACAAGTAGACATCCTGACAGTAATCCCATATAAGATTCTCTACAGTACTTCGGTTTACTTCACCAGATGAGACATATTGATTGCAGAAAACAGCAGTGATACTTCCTGCTTCTTTAAATATAGTGCTATGCAAATGCTCCTGAACATTTATCTCAATTTCCACCAAATTCCCAGCATGCGACTCTAGGATCCTAGTGTAGATGCATTGCAATGGGAAGATTTCAGTCAGTAATGCTTCCGCAAGGCAGAAAAGAAGAGAAGCTCTATGAGAAACAGTACCACATTTGGATAATGCTAATGACACACATTGTAGTAGAAAACTGTTTTTCAGCTTCACACTTGAAGAGTTAGCATCTCGAGTTCTTGAAATCAAGTCTCCTGCAACAACTGCAATTCGCTCCTCTGCAGGAATTCTCAGGTGCAATAGCAAATTTGCATTGGTTCTATTGATAGTCCTTAGAACTCCAGCTGCAGCCATTACAACAGCAAATGATGCATAGTTCTGTGGTGGACTCTCCAATATCTCTCTTTTGAAAAGATCAATGCGATCTGAAGAGTGTGAACTGATTAAATTTGACAGGACCCACTCAGTTAAATGTAGTACTAGAAGTCCGTTCTCAATGCTAGACAAAGGAACATCAGTTTTGTCCCAAACTCCAAATAGAATGCCTAGAATTCTAACAAAATAAATATTCAGAGGGCAAGATAAAGCATAACCAATTCCTGCAAGAACATTGGGAATTAGTCCTTCAGACATGCAGATCAATTTAAAATCTTGTTCAAGTAGCATGCAGAGCATCTCTAGGCAGGCCTTTCTAGATTTCTCTGATGCTGAAGTTACAAAAGAAAGGGCACCAAGTAGAAGAACACCTTCAGAGTAGAAAACAGAGATTTTTTCAGAATGCAAATGTACAGAGAAAAGGTTCAAGAGAACCTCAACAGCATAATCAACAACAAGAGAAGAGGGTCTGGATGATTTCCTAATCCAGATATACAGAAGTTTCAGAAGTAAAGAATAAGATTCCTGTGGGAGGGAGATTTTAGGTGAGGACATAAGAGAGAGTAGAAGTTTTGCTTGTGGATCAGCAATATACAGTGAGTTTTGAGAGGTAACAAGAGTATGCAAAGATTGGAGGTTATGAGAATTGAAGGCCTGTTGTTGAACTGAATCCCGCAAATCTGCCCATGCTTGTATTATGGCTTGAGCAGATGTCAAAGATGGCTGTCTTGAGCTCACACTGCTGCTGCTCCCACCAATGATGCTTTGCAGCCATACTTCAAGGAAAACTGTTTGAGATTGCTTAGCCATCTTGTGACTTCCACCTGCAAGATTAATAATGGTAAAGATTATTGTTTCCATAATTTTAGCTGAAAAAAAAAAAAAAAAAAAAAAAAAAAAAAAAAAAAAAAAACTACTCTCTAACCCATCTTTAATAAAGTCAGATCAACACCATAATAGCACCACTTATAAACTTCATGTGATTGAAGACTACACACCCATATCATATCAATCATTAATTTACTCAATTCATCAAAGAACAGCTAGATAACACATCCTTGTTTTCTTTACCCTGAAAAGGACAAAATAGGCAGCAAAGTCCCTGCTATTAATATCAGAGCATTGAATAACTCCTAAATGCAGACTGTGAAAATGAGGTTTTAACAAGAATTCCACATTAAACATATCAATCATAGTTATAGCAGAATATGGAAACTAAGAGAAGCTTACCAGTTACATCTTAATAATATGCTAAATTCCTACAGAGTAAAATGTTACAATTCGCACCATGACCTCTGATAAGTTATTAATATCAATATAAAATGCTTCAGAGCTCTTGCAAAAACAACAAGATTTGTAATTTTAGAGTTCAAATATGGCGCTGGGTCTTTGCGGACTTCCGTCGAACGCTATAGAGACAGTCGATAAAACCGTTCAATTCAAACCTTAAGCAACATTGAAGGACATGAAATTAACAGTCAAACGGTTAAACAATCATCTAACAATAGAAACCGTCATGAATTACAAGATCACCCACAATTTTACCTTACACGGCAGTACTGTCGATGCTGAGCTCCACAAAATTTCTCGCGGGGCAACAAGATTCTACTCTCTAACAAAGCAAGCCAAGTTCTGCAACTAAAGCAGTGGGAAACTTCGATTTCTGTTTTTTTTTCTTCTCCCAGTTTATAATCTATTATCTATATATCAGTCTTTTTGTGAAGTTCTTCGATTTTGACGACGTTTAGTTTAGTTGTACGTTGCTGGTCCGCTTGCAGATGAAGGTTGCATTTTTACAGTATACTCCGTAATTTTTTGACACGTCCGAAATCTTTCAAAGGGAAAAAAAAAAAAAAAAAGAAGTTACAATATAAATATCTTTCAATTTTTTTTAAATACTATTAACTCTATTACAATATAATATCTCTTTATACATATTTTTTCAACCTATTAAAGTATAAAGAATCAAATACTTCCACATTGAGATTCGAACCCAAAACCTATCATTTATTTCCTAAAACTCAAAAAGAAAGAAGGGAAAGGAAAAAAAAAAAAGAATTTATATAAGCCCTTAGGGCATCCTCACAATCGTTATACCCTGTACCACGGCGCACATTGCACTATGCACCCCGCGCCTCTCAAAACGACGTCGTTTTGGTAAATTATGTAAGGAGTTGACGTGGTTATGTATATTTATTTATACAATTATGTGTATTTGCTTATACAATTATGTGTATTTTTTTATACAATTATGTTGATTTGTTTATACAATTATGTTTATTTTTTTATACAATTATGTGTATTTATTTATACAATTATGTACATTCATGTATACAATTATGTGTATTCTAGTATAAAATTATATACATTTTTGAACATGAGATTTTTTTTTTATAAAGAAAATTAACCACCAAACACAGGGTAGTGAAATTTAAAAATAAAAAATAAAAAATAAAAATCTGAAATGAGTCGTTTTGCATCAGGGCGCACAATGCAATGCGCACCTTGGTGCACAATATAAATTGTCGCATCCTCAATAATAGTGGAGATTTTGGTATAGGTTTTGAAGAGTTTTTGTAAGTGTGATTAGGAAAGAGAAAATGAGAAGAAATAAAAAAAATGGAGAAAAAAAAAACAAAGAAACAAAAACAAAAGCTGGCCTACGATTGGTTCTTTCATCGGTTGGGCCCCACCAACTGACAAAATCCCCATTTTAACATAAGCAACTCATCCATTCTCTCTTATTTCTCTTTCATCCATGGTGGCAATTTTTTCCCTAATGGGGATGCTTTTAGATAGAAAAGGGCAATTGACCACTTTTTAACTTCCATAATGGCAACTTTTCCCCTAATGGGGATGCTCTTAGACTATCGATTTTTCAAAGTTACAAACATTTATTTTAATGACAATTACTTAAAAATAAACATTGGGCATTAGTTCATTTGCACAATGCGCGTGAAAACTAGTTATTTGCTTAACCTGCTAAACCTGCTTAAACTAGTTATTCGCGTAAATTAATTTAAATATTAAAATTTGTCACATAAACCGTATAATTCATCTTACCTACTTAACCTAAAAAGTAAAAACAATTTGCTAAAAGTGTTGTATGCACAAATTTATAGAGTTAAATGATTTAATTGTACATATTTTTTGTTCAATGGCCCAATTGAACAAACATTAATAGTTTGATGGCCTATTTGACATTTTTTCATAATATATATACTTCGTATTATATATTAAGCCTAATTATGTATGTGGTGCAAGTTCACTAGACCTATTAAGTAACTTGGTTGAAGTGAATAATCAAAAGTTGTCTGTAATCAACCGCCTATATAAAAATATACGACATTAGGACATACAGTATATGGCACATATAATTTACCGTACTAATAATACTGCTTAGAATAATTTCAATACATTATTTAAATTCTAAGTCAAGTATAAGACAAAACGTCTAACATTTTACCATTTAAGAAACAATAAGATTTTATTAAGACAGAATATCACGTCAAGATTTTATTAAATCAATGTTAGATTATATTTATATCTAACATATTTAAGGCCGGGTGGGATGCATAACGTTGTTTAGTAGCCGCTGCCGTAGTAAGGCGGTTGGGTTGGAGGCGGAACCGTCGGCCAGGGTGGAGAGGCAAAAGGCCTTCCCGGAACAGTTGTCGAAGATGGCGAGGCGGATGGAGTTGCCGGAACAGGTGGCCAATAAGATGGAGAAATGGACGGACTAATAGCTGGAACCATTGGCGAAGAAGGGGCCGCTGGAGTCGCCGGAATCCCTGAAGTGCCCGGAGTTTCTGGATTAATTGACGGAGATGGTGGAGAGATAGATGATGATGGAGCTGTGGGTGGAAGAGTTGACCAAGATGGGGTGGCCGGAGTTGCATACTGAGCCAATCTCCGGCCACGATAAGGCCGAGTTGGAGCGGCAGTAGCCATAGCTGAAATGGCAAATACTGCAACAATAGCCATCGCCATAAAAGTTGAAGTGGCCATACTGCAAATCCTCAAGTTTTCTAAATTTGCACTTAGATACTCCGTATATGTTATGGGGCTTACCTTGCCTTGCCTTTTATAGACTCCTTGAATGACCAGAAAAATCCACAACTAATCTTAAAATTTTAATCAATAAATAATTATAATAAGAAAAATTAACATAAGTTGTTCATAAGTGACCAGCTAAAGTCAATAGATCGTTCATACTGAAAATCATATTTATAAATTTGTGATTATCAAATCAATCTACTGATAAATTTAGTTGGAATTGTCCTTGATTCTTTTTTTTGGTCGCAAACTGAAACGGCTACGGACGGCACAATGTGCCGAAAAAAAAATGAATATTAGATAGTTAACATCTTAGATTAAATTAGAATTTGTTGTGACATAGTATAATTTAATAGTTGTATAATTGCATTCAATTTAGTAACATTGTGATTTCCAATGAATTAAATTATTCATAAATCTTGCTAATTACAATGGATCCATATTTCTCATTTTATAAGGCCTATTTAGTTACTATCATTTAATCGGAGCGGACCCGTGTCCACTATGTGCATGATGAACACGCTGTACATTCAAAATTTCTATACTGTACATTCATAATTTCTATACTGTAGATATATAATTTCAATACTGTAGATTCATAAAATTTATAATGTAGATTCATAATTTCTATACTGTACATTTATAATTGTTGTACTGTAGATTCATAATTTATGTACTGTAGATTCATAATTTCTATACTGTAGATTCATACAGTACAGAAATTATGAATGTGCAGTATAGAAATTATGAATCTACAGTATAGATTTTATAAATCTACAGTATAGAAATTATGGATCACATTTTAGAAATTATGAATCTACAGTATAGAAATTATGAATTTACAATATAGAAATTATGAATTTACAATATAGAAATTATGAATGTACAACATGTCCACCATGCACATAGTGGACACGGGTCCATAGCATAATTTGCCCATTTAATCCATCCAACTCTTCTTTCTTCACTTATTTTTCTTAAACAATTTTTAAGTATATTAAAAAAAAAAAAATCGTTCGTATACCCATGACTATGTAAAAATAATTATATGTAATCATAATTTCGTTTTAAAATAATGTCTTCCTGTGTTGATTATATTATCAAATAATGGTCATTTAGTACATAAATAATATACTTTAAATATATTAAAAATGTACATTATATTTTAAAAAAAAAAGTACATTATTTGAATACTAAAAGTACATTATTTTATATAATATACATTCAGCACAAAAATAATGTACTTTTAATAAATTAAAAATATATTTTTTGTTATGGTGCACACAATAATTTGTCAATGATTGATTAGTCGTTTCTATAGTCTCCCAAGCTATGAAATGAAGTTCTTTGATTTTGACGACATTCGGTTTAGTTGTATGTTTGTAGTTGATTGTAGCGCCAAAATATTGATCCTTATTTTGCAATTAATCAGTTTGCAAATTTTTACTGTGGGCCATGATTTATGTAGTAGACTGAACCATAAAGTAAATATCATTCTAAGAACACTTAAGTTTCATTTAACAATATTATTATGTTTTTAATTTCATTTTACCCCCACACTAGTTTTATTATAGCATACCAAAGTATCATTTTAATTTTATTACAATCTGATTTGATAAAATATATTATTGCAAGAGTTCTATTTTTTAGTTTTATTTTTCACACAAACTAGTTTAATTATAATAATACTGAAGTATTATTTTAATTACACTTTAAGTTAATTTGACAATATATGTTATTGTATGGGCTCCGAATTTTAGTTTTATTTTTCACACACTAGTTTCATTATAGCAACACTAAATTATAATTTTAATTATACTACAATTTCATTTGACAATATACATTATTGAATGAACTCTTTTGTTTTAGTTTTATTTTCCACACACTAATTTTATTATAGTAATACTAAAGTATCAATTTAATCTACTACAGTTTCATTTAACGACCATGGTCCATACAACGTTGTGTGGACTATGGTCCATTGTATAACAACTGTTAATCAGCGAAACACTACTTTGTATAATTAACTTATTTAAATCTAAGTCAGTTGTAACATATTTGAAGATACTTAAAGGAGAATAATATCTATATTTATATTACATATCTTCTAGAATATTTTATATATGTATTCATAATTATTTTCATATTCTTAGGATGATAGTTTAGGTTAATTCCTAAATGATTGGTTTTATTAAAATCACTCGAAATTAAACTTGTGTTAATTTTATAACGTTAATTTTAAAAAATAAATTTGAAAAAAATAAGTGTTAGTAAACAAGTTTTCTAAATAAAAAATAGAGGATGAAAATTGAAAAATTAGAGAACAGAAAACAGTTTCCGTTAGTAAATGGGCTCTACACTTTTCGCATCTAATTAAGTTATATGGTAATTGTAGAATTTGTCCCTACTTGTTGATTATGTTCACTTTTCGTCACAAAGTTACGTTATAACTGATGTTGTAAGTAATCTCTAAAAAACATCGGTAATCTCTAGTCCTATTAGAAAAGGACGGAATTTTTGCAACATCATTTATAACTTAGCAACGAGAAGTGAGCATAACCAACAAGTAGGAACGAATCCGACAATTATCATATAATTTAAAGGCAAAAAGTGTAATTTTCACATAAAACCAATTGTAACACCCCCAAAACTTAAGCATAAGGTAAAGCATTCAACTTAGAAAAATAAGTAAAAAGTCTAATCATCATGAAATAAATTTCGCGGAAGCTAAACCGTTAAGTAAGGGAGTGTTATGCCACATCTAGGTCCTCCAAACCTAAATGCACAGGCTTAACAAAATTCACTATCCATAAGTCAAAGTGTACCAAAATGGGCTCACAAGCCACCAAAAACTATATGCTAATAAAAGAGAACTAAGTCTAGAAGATGGGTTCCAACTAGCGCTCTCTCGAATCAACTAGACTGCACCTGAAATCATAAGGTTAGACAACCGTTAGCGATAATGCTAAGCAACCCAACTCCAACGCGTTGAAATACATATTCATATACTTTATAGATAAAACCATTTTGAGACTTGGGAATACATAAGTATATCCTTAAACAACACTAGGTTTACAAATCATGAAGAATAGAAGTAGAACTCGACTCATCGAGGGATGCACTCGGCAATACCAATCAATACACAAGATTATCAATAGAATCAACACAACAAGACAATGACAATGGAATAAGGATAACAAGCAAGATAAGGTAATCACAATCATCAACAAGGTGGTTCTCATCATGTTACATCATCAATCACCGATAAGGTTCCAAATCCTCAAAGAACATAGCCAAGCCAAGTCATTTACCGCGGAGTCATCACAACGACTCGTTACCATAGTGGATCAGTATGGTGGGCTCTAGTGCAATCAGTTAGATTAGATATCCGCGGGGTAACAAACCCGATTCATAGATTCCGCGGGGTCAGAAGAGACCCGAATAGGGATGCGCGGGGTCACCGGACCGGATTATGGTTCGCGGGGTCACAAGGACCCGTGGAGACAGTTCTAAATCCTTAAGTGTATACACCCTCATTGGGTTCTCCAGTCCCCAATAAGTAGAAATAGTCCCGACAACCTGGCAAAGGCTCCCTCAGAGTTGTCCCTAACCATCATCCCGAATCAAATAGAACTACCACACTGTCCACCTGTACCAACTCAATCATAACATCAAGATTCTACACTCAAGGAATCATAAGAAACGAGGCAAGTGAATAGATTCCACATGAAGGTACTCCACATAGGATAAGCTCAGCAATAGCTCAACTAAAGAATCATCAAAGACAAGGTACGAATGTACAAGCTCACATCGATAGTTCAAGGTAAATGGGATTGAAGAAAGAGATACGAAGAAGACATTCCAACAATAGATCACAACGAATAGATACGCTCAAGTTCCAATTCAATCAAGAAATAAGCCAAGGTTATCGCAAGGAAAACATACTAGCATCAAGGAGCGACATGCTAATACACAACCAAAGAGAAATCACAAGGTTACATATATACGAACATCATCAACCTCATCAAATAATCCAACGAATAGCAATATTGGATATTAACCAAGATTCAAGATTCCAAATCCTAACCATTGGGTTCACAATGCACCGCTCTAGACTTACTAGAAATCAACAAATACACACGAGTACACAATGGAACAACAAAACGAAAGCCAACAATATCGTGCCAGTGGGTGGTTTGGACGGGTGGCAAAGTACCCGCCGAAACTCCACACCGTACCAGCGGGTACCAAACCACCCGCCGAACCCCTACTGACCACCTTGTACCGGCGGGTGGCAAACTGCACGCCAGGCCCCCGCTAGTACCGAAAACCTGTAGAAGAATTCATCTCGAGAAAAATTTCAAGAATGTGCAAATCCAAGTCCAAATACCTCAATACTCACATCAACAACAAAAGGGACTTGAATACAAGAAATAACTCATCAAATAGCATCACATAACCCTATATACAAGCTCTACAATAGCATAATCACAAGAATATGCATATCACCACATAAGAACATCAAGAAATCATATTATGCAAGGAAAATAGGTTTTGTTGGACATAAGGTTACCTCTTAGCTAGCAAAGCCTCAAAGCAACACCACAAGCTCCTCTAGATCATCCTAGCATCTCACCCAACACTTGATCTTCATCAAAACCCCCAACAACCTAACATAGAAATAAGATAAAGATTAAGAGAAAGTAAAGGGATCTTGGATAGAAAAGATGTAGAAAGGCTTGACCTTACCACTCCTAAGCCTTATGAGATGGAAATGTAGAATCTTTGGTCTTGTTTCTTGAGTTGGAAGATGAATGATATTTTGGGTGTGTAAGGGGAAGGAGGCTAGAGAAGAGGAAGAGAATGTAGGAAATGTACGTGTAGGTTAGGAGTCTTGTACGGGTAAGGTGAATTATATATATTCATGTGTATGTATTAGCGTATTCAAGAATAAGATATGGGCCTTTATAATACAATCGTTA